TTTTTTTTTTTTTACACTGATGCTGTTCCTTTTCAACTTCAAATGTCAGAAGGCACACTTATAGATACTGATCTGTGTTTGTCTTTTTTCTCGAGAAGGAGCAATTATTTTCACTAGAGCTCTGTTGGGGATATCCATCTTGCTTGTGATAGTTGCATACAAACTTCGGAGGAGGCATTTGTCTGTGGATGATGTGATTGAAGAGTTCCTTCAGAAACAGAATAACTTCATGCCTATTAGGTATACTTACTCAGAAATAAAGAAAATCACTGGAGGTTTTAAGGATAAACTGGGTCAAGGAGGCTATGGTTCAGTCTTTAAAGGAAAGCTTCGAAGTGGACATTTTGTAACTATTAAATTACTGGGCAGGGCAAAATCAGATGGCCAAGATTTCATCAATGAAGTTGCCACCATGGGTAGGATTCATCATGCTAATGTCATGCAGCTCATTGGATTTTGTGGTGAAGGATCAAAACAAGCTCTAGTATATGATTTCATGCCTAATGGGTCCTTGGATAAAGTCATATTTTCAAGAAACAGTGATACATCTTTAGGTTGGGAAAAAATGTTTGAGATTGCTATTGGGGTGGCTAAAGGGATTGAATACTTACATCGAGGATGTGAAATGCAGATTTTACATTTTGATATCAAGCCACACAATATCCTTCTGGATGAGCATTTTAGTCCTAAAGTTTCTGATTTTGGCCTTGCAAAACTATATCCCGCAAATGATAGTGTTGTATCTCTCACTGCAGTAAGAGGTACATTAGGATACATGGCTCCTGAATTTTTTTACAAGAAAATTGGAGGCATCTCATATAAGGCTGATGTTTATAGCTTTGGAATGTTGTTGATGGAAATGGTGGCAGGAAGAAGGAACACAAATTCATTTTCTGACCAATCAAGTCAGATATACTTTCCAGCATGGATCCATGAGCGATTTGATCAGGGAGAGGACATAGAGTTGGGAGATGTTACAGATATTGAAAAGAATCTTGTCAGGAAGATTGTCATAGTTGCATTGCGGTGCATACAAATGAAACCTGCTATTCGTCCTTCGATGAGCAAAGTCTTGGAGATGCTTGAAAGTGAAGTTCAGCTACTTGAAATGCCTCCCAAGCCTTCTTTTGTTCCATCTGAATTGCAGACTGCAAATCATGTCAATATAAGTCAAGCAGCCCAGCCAACTATGTCACTCGATGCTAGAACATAAGGTGCACTCCAAATGCCTTACCTTTACTTGCTTACACATGACAGTGTCAGATATGTTTACATATCCTGCATTGTTTATTAAGTAAATGACCTTTTTACAACTCAAATATATCAATCTTCAAATGTTGTACTTTGATATATCTGATCACATATGGTTTCTTAATGAAATAAGATTACTCTGTTGATAGAATATTTGAGCTTTATTTAATATTCATTCATTTAGAAAATAATCTTATGGCTCTTTCTGTCTTCTATTTACTGATGCTTCTGCTGCTGGAGGCCAGAGCAAGCATTGTGTCCCTTCTTCCTGTGGAAGCCTCAATATCAGTTTCTATTTTGGTTAACAAGAGATAATAGATTAATGTTCGAGGGTCTTTTATTACATGAACATTAAATGTTCCATTTTAGGTGAATCCAAAGACTAACAAATTCAACTCTCTTCCATGTGAGCCAAAACATTTCAAAAAAGAAAAATTACAAAAGAGAAGCTTCACTGAATTCGAATGGACTAACTATAAAGCATTGATTTTGTCAACATTTTAACAGTTAGGGGAGATTTGAAAACATCACTAATTAAGGGCAGCAACCTGGACCAATGGTATAATGACACATTGGCATGATTGTGTTAGTTTTCCTTACAATTGAATAGAAGGTTGCAAACTGCCCTTGCCAGTTACCTTCCATCTGAAAGCAAACTGATTGTTTCTGTATAATCTGAAGATGAAGATTTAGTTTGATTTGTTTGGCTTCCCACACTCCTTTCTTGTGCCTCTTCAGGAAACAGAACAGGTTTGGGAGGCATTTGCAGGCTTAATTTCAAGTTTTCCTTGAACCATCTCTACAACTTTGTTCATCGAAGGACGATCACTAGGCTTCATCTGTATACACCATAATGCTACTATAATCATCTTCTTTATTATTCTATTTTTTCTTCCTCTGTCGCATCTCTAATTTCTTCCCCGTCCTTTCCCTTAACAATGGGGTCATAATCACAAAAAGGACAAGCAAACCTCACTTGAATTTTCTGCTGCTGGATTCGAATTCCTTCTCTTGCAAACCATTTCTATCATCAACATTCCAAAACAATAAGAGTAATGATAAGGAAGACGAAAATTTAAGATGAAAATTTAAAATTAATAACATGACATAAGTTATATTATTAAATTAATTTATACATATAATATTATAGGTTTTAAAAAAAATTAAGTATTAAATGATATAAAATTTACCTTTTAATATTTTAAGTAAAATAGCTTATTCTATATCATTAGTTTTATATTTTATTTTTAAAATTTTGATTTTATTTATCATTATTCAAACAATAAATATCATCTTTATGTGAAACACCACCTATAAGTTTCCTTCCCTCCATTTGTAGATTGAAAATGCCATTACACGGAGATCTAAATTAAAATTTTGCAGTAAGCCAGTGACATATGCTCCTGTGTGGCAAAATCAAAGAAAAGAGGGTGAGAGAGAGTTGACCAGTCAGAAAAATAGTCATCAAACCTATCCATTGACTTTTCAGCTTATAAAAAATGATGACCGAATTTTTTTTTTTTTTTTGATAACATAATGACTAAAATTAATATGCCTTTGGAAGACATTCTCAAGTTATAAACTAGATCAACCAATCACAAGTGACTAGCAAACATAAAAGCAAGAATCCTGCCGTTCTAAACATGGGACCTGG